AATTTTCTTCCTTATTTGAAAAATACATATTAAGTATAATTTACATAAACCCCAGATCATAAATATTCAGTTAGCCAAGTTTTGACAGTTGGCTACACCCATGTAGCCGATATTCAAAACAAGAGAGAAAACATTTTTATCACTCCAGAAAGTTCCCTTATATCTTCTTAATCAGTCTCCTCACATCACACCTCCTCTGGGAGCGCAACTGCTCTTCTGATTTCTCTCACCGTGATTGTTTGTCTGTTCTTGAACTTCATGTAAGTGGAATCATAACCGTATCTTGCCTGTTTTACTCAGTGTAATGTCTTTGAACTACGTGTTGCTTTTGTGTATCAGCAGTTTGTTCCTTTTTATTGCTGGAGGTAGTCCATCATTTGAAAATACCGCAATTTGTTTATATATTCTTCTGTTGTTGGTTATTTGAGCTCTTTTCATCTTTTCATTTTTGGCCCAGTTTGAATAATGCTAATGTAAACATCCTTTTGTAAGTCCGTTTGTGGGCAGTTGCATTTATTTCTTTGATCTAGTCCTAGGAATGAAATTGTAGGTACATATTCAGATTTTTTGCAGTTTTTAAATAATTTATTTGTTCATTTTAATTGGAGGGTAATTACTTTCCAATGTTGTGAGGATTTTTGCCGTACATCAACATGAATTGGCTGCGGCTATACATGTGTCCCCCATCCTGAACCCTCCTCCCACCTCCTTTCCCACCCTATTCCTCTGGGTTGTCCCAGAGCGCCGACTGTGGGTGTCCTGCTTCATGCATTGAACTTGCACTGGTTATCATTTTACATATGGTGATGTACATGTTTCAATGCTATTCTCTCAAATCATCCCACCCTCACCTTCTCCCACTGAGTCCAAAAGTCTATTCTTTACATCTGTGTCTCCTTTGTCGCCCTGCATGTAGGATTGTCGTTACCATCTTTCTTTGTTGTTCAGTTGCTCGGTCATGTCTGACTCTTTGTGACGCTATGGACTGCAGCATGCCACACTTTTCTGCCCTTCACCATGTCCTGGAGCTTGCTCAAAATCATGTCCATTGAGTCAGTGATGCCATCCAACCATCTTGTCCTTTGTCATCCCCTTCTCCTGCCTTCAGTCTTTCCCAGCATCAGGGTCTTTTCTAATGAGTTGGTAAAGTATCCATATCAGGTAGCCAAAGTATTGGAGCTTCAGCTTCAGCATCGGTCTTTCCAATGAATATTCAGGATTGATTTCACATCAGGTAGCCAAAGTATTGGAGCTTCAGTTTCAGCATCAGTCCTTCCAATGAAAATTCAGGACTGATTTCCTTTAGGATTGACTGGTTTGATATCCTTGCAGTGCAATGGACTGTCAAGAGTCTTCTCCAACACCACAGTTCAAAAGCATCAATTTTTCAGCGCTCAGCCTTCTTTATGATCCAACTCTCACATCCATACATGACTACTGGAAAAACCATAGCTTTGACTATATGGACCTTTGTCAACAAAGTCATGTCTCTGCTTTTTAATATGCTGTCTAGATTGGTCATAGCTTTTCTTCCAAAAACTAAGTGTCTTTTAATTTCATAGTTGCAGTCAGCATTTGCAGTGATTTTGGAGCCCAACAAAATAAAGTCTGTCACTGTTTCCATTGTTTCCGCATCTGTTTGCCATGAAGTGATGGGACCGGATGCCACGATCTTAATTTTTGAATGTTGAATTTTAAGCCAGCTTTTTAAAGCTGGGTCATATGGCATTTCTATTCCTAGCTTTTTAAGGAATCTCCACACTGTTCTCCATAGCAGCTATACCAGTTTGCATTTCCACCAGCAGTGTAAGAGGATTCCTTTTTCTTCACACCCTCTCCAGCATTTACTGTTTGTAGACTTTTAAACTTTTTGACTATGGCCATTCTGACCAGTGCGAGATGATACCTCACTGTGGTTTTGATTCGCATTTTTCTAATGATGAGTGCTGTTGAGCATCTTTTCACATGTTTATTAGCCATCTGTATGTTTTTTTATTGTAGAATAGTTTTAGTTTTACAGAAGCGTTTCCCAGGTGATGCTAATGGTAAAGAATCCACCTGCCAGTGCAGGAGATGCAGGAGACGAGTGTTTGATCCTTGGGTTGGGAAGACCCCCTGGCAGCTCGTTCCAGTATTCTTGCCTGGAAAATTCCATGGAAAGAGGATCCTGGTAGGCTACAGTCCATGGGGCCTCAGAGAGTCAGACACGGCTGTGTAAGCACAGTTTTATAGAAATATTGCATAGATAGTACGGAATGGTCCTGTATACCCCATACCTAGTTTCCTCTATTATTGATATCTTATGTTGGTATGGTACATTTGGCACAATTAATGAACCAATATTGATATATTGAAAGTGAAAAGTGCAAGTGCTAGTCACTCAATAGTGTCCAACTCTTTGTCACCCTGTGCACTGTAGCCCTCAAGGTTTCTCTGCCCATGGAATTCTCCAGGCAAGAATACTAGAGTGGGTTGCCATTTCCTTTTCCAGGGGATCTTTCCAACCCAGAGATCAAACCCTGGTCTCCTGCATTGCAGGTAGATTCTTTACAGTCTCAGCCACCAGGGAAATCCATTGATATATTATTGTTAACTAAAGTCTATACTCTTCATAGTTCCTTAGTTTTTGCCCACTGTCCTTTTTCTGTCTATGATTCCATCCCAGGGCACCACATTACTTTTAAGTGTCATATCTCCTTGGGATCCTCCTGGCTGTAACAATTTCTCAAAACTTTCATGTTTTGATGACCTTGACTGTTTTGCAGAGTACTGGTCAGGTATTTTTTAGAACGTATTTCAGTTGGGTTTGTCTGATGTTTTCTCGTGATTCGACTGAAGTTTTTATGAATTTGGGTGAGGAAGATCACAGAGTGAAGTGCCATCTCTATCAGAGGAGGTCAAGAATGTTGGGTATCAATATAACTTATCAGTAATGTTACCCTTGGTCACCTCATTAATTTAGTGTTTGTCAGGTTTCCCCACTGGCAAGTTACTCCCCCTCCTCTTTCCATACAGTTTTCTAAAGTGTTGGTACGATTTGACACTTGGACAGGCAGTGTTTGAGAGTCCACACGCTCTTTATCCTCACCAGCACTTGCTCTTGTCAGTCTTCACTTTTAACCATTCTAGTTGGTGTGAGGTAATCCCACTGTGGTTCTAATTTGCATTCAGTGATGACTAATGGTGTTGAGCACTTTTTCATCTGCCCCTTGGCTATTCATATATCTTCTTTTGTGACATCTCTGTTCAAGTCTTTTGCCTGATTTCTTAAATTGAGTTATTTGTCTTTTTATTATTGAGTTGGGGAGTTATTTGTATGTTCTAGACATAGCTTCTTTATTCAATATAGGCATGAAATATTTTCTCCCAGTCTGTGGCTTGCCTATTGATTTCTTACTGATGTCTTTGGATGAGCAGGATTTAAGATTCTAATGAAGAGATTTGAGGTCCAGTGTTGGGTAATAGACTCTCACCCATTCTGTATCTGATGCTGCTAATTTTCAGTTATGAAGATTAGTGGTGGGCTGGTGGGTATAAGGATTATAGCTATGTTTTCTTTTCAAGTCATCTAATATTCATTAAAAGAAAATTTTCAAAGGCAAGTTCAAGATTCCCCATAGTATCAATAATTGTGTTGTTGGGTGTGAAGATTCCAGATGTGTTGGGTCTCTTTGAGTAGCAACTGCCAGGACATGGAAGAAACCCATGTAAGAAGACCATGTCCTGTCTTTTGCCAATTATGAATTCTCATTTCCCAAAAAGCTTAGGCGTGATCAGGGATGACAGTAAAAAGGGGGCTCTTGCATGGGAGCACAGTGCAAGTCAAATTTACAGACAGGGAGGAGTCTGGCCTGGGAAATGGCAACACAGAGGCCACTTTGAGCATTTTCCCCAAGATTTGGTGACAAGGGCGCATAATCCTTTTACCACTTAACAAAAAAGGAGAGAAGCAGAAGCCAGACTTGGTGAAAAACAAGTCTCCTTGTTAATCAGTCAAGAGAGAGTCTTTAGCCAGGTTCAGGAAGGGTCTGGATTCTTGGAGTCAGTTGGTGTTTACAGTTCTTAAACTCCTCTTGGAGAGGAAGGAAGAATTCCTCTTAAGAAAAGGGACATCATGTAATATTAAATACTGACTCATAAGTTGGGTCTGGGAGATACTTTGAAGCTTCTTGAAATACCAGTAGTAAGGAAAGAGCTTTTTCGAGACTTCATATGTTAACTCATTTACTAGTCAGTCCTGACATATTGACTCCCTGAAATGATGCTTGCTTCTAAAACTGATAATCATTAGTTTCAATCTTTCATATTTACAAAAGACTGAAAATCTTTCAGGTTTTCAGTCTTTTGCAAATATGTTTGAAAAATCAGGTTGAAAAATCCTTTGTAGTTTCTAATTTGTGCTAAGTAGATACTGGCTTCTTGATTGATTTCTGTCAGTTCTTAATCATTTAGCGTAGTATTTTTAATATTTAACTTTGGAGCTGAGTACTTGGAAGATTGTTGCACGCCTTTTCTTTAGTACCAATGGTGTTTGGAACGGAAAAAAAGACTCACCTTTATTTTATTTTTACACATATAGTATGATTTCTGGCTGGTAATGGCTCTGAACTCCTTGATTTTCCTGGGTTCCACTTATGTTCTAGAATTCTCCATTTATCCAATTACCATAATCCTGTAAAATTTGGAAGAAATAACAGTGGCTCAGGGAGGAAATAGCTATGGCTTAATGTCTTGTACTGCTAAAAGTCAGGACTCTATTATTTGCAAAGAGGAAGAAAAATAGGGACTTGAAATTGAGAAGACTTCAGGGTCAGTGGCATTCTTCAGCACAATTTAAAGCATTCTAAAAAGTTGGTGGGGGGGAGTTTGTCCATTAAAAACATGATTCTGACTTTTCTTTGTTTTCTCTAGGAAAAGAATGAGTCTTTTTACTTAGAAAAATCTGTCTCTGAATGTAGCCGTCATCTTTTCTCTAACTGCCCCTTTTCTTGCTGTTTCAGGTGAATCTCTTTGTACTGCTGTCTGTGGTGTGTGTCCTCCTGAATTTAGCCGGATTTATTCTTGGCTGCCAGGGTGCTCAGTTTGTGTCCAGCGTGCCCAGGTGTGATCTGGTAAGCTGTCCTGAAACATCACTTCGTGCTTGTGCCAACTGTGGCCTGCCCAGCATTCTTGGGTGCCAGTGTGTGGCTGGACACAGGACCACGCAGTGTCCTAAAGTGAGACCTGAAGTCGGTAAAAGGAAGTGGGAAAACAAAATAAAGAACTAACTGCTCATTATTGTACTCAGATTGTCGATTAGTTTTTCTGAAGCAGGGACCAGCCAGTAGAACCCCCAAACCACAGCAATATAATGCATCATTAGTCAGTGAATAGATGGATCAGTTGTCCACAATCAGTATCTATCTGCTCTCATCTAAAGAGAAAAGATGGATATTATCAGAATTCAGGTTAGCAGTCCTTTATCTGAAACTTCTGGAGGCCTTTCAGCATTCAGAGTTTTTCCAATTTTTAGAAGATAAATGTGACACATAGACTGTTTATTCTTAACACCTCAGTGGAATCGGGAGACCGCGGACTGTAATCAAAATTTTTGGTGTCCAGAGCTTTGGGGATTTCAGAATCATAGATAAAAGGTTGTGAACCTGTACTATCCCAATTTTTTTTCTAATTTTAATTGTGGTAAAATATACATAGCATAAAATATACCATCTTAACCATTCACTGGTATTAAATACCTTCACTTCGCTGTGCAGCCAGTCTTTAGAACTCTTTCCATCTTGCAAAGCTGACATTATACATTTTATTTTATTTAAAGAATTAGTTATTTATTTATTTGTGGCTGCACTGGGTCTCGTTGCTGCACACGGGCTTTCTCCAGTTGCAGAGGGCAGGGGCTCCTCTGTAGTTGTAGTGAGTGGGCTACTTACTAGTTGCAGCGTGTGGGCTTCTCATTGCGGTGGCTTCTCTTGTCGCGCACAGGCGCAGTTACCCCACTGCATGTTGAATCTTCCCAGACTAGGGATCAAACCCACGTCCCTTGCATGGCAGGCGGGTTCTTGACCACCAGGGAAACCCAACACTATATATTTCAGACTGCTACTCTCCATCCCCTCTTCTCTCTGGCTTCTGCCAACCACTCTTCTACTTTGTGATGCTATGGATTTGACTGCTCTGGTTGTCTGATATAAGTGGGATCATCTAGTATTTGTCTTTTAGTAATTGTTTATTTCACTTAGTATAACACCCTCAATACATCTGCATGTTGTAGTATGTGTCAGAATTTCCTTTCTTTTTAAGGCTGAATAATAGATATTTCACTGTATGCAGAGGTCGCGTTTTGTTTACCCTTCATCCATTGGAGGACACTAGGATTCTTTCTACCTTTTGGCTATTATAAACAATGCTATCATGGAAATGGGTCAATTCTCTGGAGTATGTGCCCAGAAGTAAAATTTCTGGCCATCTCTGACTTTTTAAGAGGACTTTTCCATCACAAATATCTCCCTGTGGAAAAAAAGCAAAAGAGGTAGACTCCTGGGAATTCCCTGACCATACAATGGTTAAGACTCCATGCTCCCAATGTAGGGGGCACAGGTCAGGAAACTTAAGATTCAGCATGTCTGATGACATGTCCCCTCCCCCCAAAAAGGTGGACTCTTTACGAGTGATAGGAAACCTCATCTATTTGAAACTCAGTTCTATGGCATTCTCACCCAGTCAAAACCAGCAGGATGCAAGTGAAGGCGGCCACCCTGTTTCTTACAACGCTCTGATGGAATCCTTGCAGGAAGCTCATGATCTCCCCAGATGGGAAGATTCCTCGGGGACTCAGTAAAAACTTGTTGCTCTTAACAACCCTTCACAGTTTTAAAAAAGTTTTTGTCATTTTGTTGCTTAATAACCTTAAGTTTTGGAAGCACAGGCTTACAGTGTTGCCTGATGTTTGAAAAGTGAAAGTGAAGTCGCTCAGTCATGTCCGACTCTTTGTGACCCAATGGACAGTAGCCTACCAGGCTCCTCTGTCCATGGGATTTTCCAGGCAAGAGTACTAGAGTGGATTGCCATTTCCTTCCCCAGGGGATCTTCCCGACCCAGGGATTGAACCCAGGCCTCCCGCATTGTAGGCAGATGCTTATGACTTGCCCTTTTCCCTCTTTCCCACTGTGATCAAGCCCAAGCCCACAGGCCACCTAGGTTTCTGCCCTACTTTCCTGTTCCTGACAATGCCTCTCTCCCCTGACCATTCCCTGTCCCTTACTTCCCTGTTCATCCAAATAGGATCAGCCTTTTAACGCCTCATTCAATGATTATCTTTTTTAAGGAAGTAGCCCCAGATCCCCAGAGAAGATAATCTTCCAGAATTCCTGTCTGTTCATCTCTGAAACATTTCTCTTTTTATTTTTTGGGCTAAAAGTGTTCATACACTTGTCTTCTCCTGTTCTGGAATCTCCCTGGGGACAGTGTCTGGCTCTCCATCTTCTGGGGAGTTTTCAACAGCACCTCCTCACACGCTTCTTTATATACACAGAGTTCCCAGAAAAAATGTTTAAACAAGGCTTGGTCTCCCTGTCACTAATCACACAGAAAATTGGAAGGGACAAAGAGAAGAGATGCAGGACAGAAGTGATAAGTCATAATACATTGAAAGATAATTCAACAAGAGAAAAGCATCTCTTCTATGCAAGACACCATACTAGAGACTGCAGAGAGTGGAAAGAAAATCAGACATCATTTCTGACCTAGAAGTTTATCACATAGCACGAGGAGTGGGGTCACTGTGGCAAGTGCCTGATCAGTGTGTGTGGAGGGAATGAATAAACGTCCAAATGCAAAGCCAGGGAGATTGCATCCAGCCATCAGAGTGAGACATGGTGTTCTGGAGCTGCAAAAGAAGAAGGTCTTGGACCCTTGGGAAGATGGGAAAAGGATACCTGGAACATAGGTATTTGAGATGGGCCCTGACCGATAATAAGTAAAGGGAGTGAGTTGAAGCCAGGAGAGGAGAGGATTCCGAGTGCAGTGGTCAGAAGTTAGCCCACCTGGTAGGTCACTGGGGGCTCTGGAACAAACAGAAGCCAAATTGCAAGGTGTAAAGGTCCGCACGGTTGACTTTTCTGAGAAATTCTGTGGTTCTCTACCTTGACTGCTATTAGAATCACTTGGGGAACTTTTTTAAAAGAATATCCAAGCTTGGGCCCTATACCCAGATATTCTCAGTTGCCCTGAGTGGGGGCCTGGACATCAGTATTTTTTTTTTAAAGCTTTTAAGTGTATTTATAATTAAAAAAATTTCCCACTATCACAAAACCAACTCTGAGATTGTTTCTGATTATATGATTGTAAAAATTGGACAATCCATAAAAGTGTGGGATGGAACTTAAAAATCATTTGAAACCTCAGTATTCTGGGATATCATAATCATTTGACGCTTTCTTTGTATGTCTTTATGAATAAAAACATTCATCAACATGACTGTATTGTAGTTGGTTTTCGTTAGGGAGCCTGTTTGACAAGTGGGGTCTTTCTGAGGAAGGGATGTTTTCCTTCCCTCTTTGCCTCATGTCATTCCAAATCCACAGTAATAAGCTGAGGGGTTTCCTTTCATGTTCTCACGCTTATGTAACCTTGCATAGATGTGTCTGGGTTGGGGCTTTGTTGTTGTTCAGTCGCTCAGGCATATCCAACTCTTTGTGACCCAGTGGACCGCAGCATGCCAGGCTTCCCTGTCCTTCACCATCTCCTGGAGCTTGTTCAAACTCATGTCCATTGAGTTGGTGATGCCATCCAACAATCTCATCCTGTTGTCCCCTTCTCCTGCCTTAAATCCTTTCCAGCATCAGGATTTTTTCCAGTGAGTCAGCTCTTTGCTTCAGGTAGCTCAAGTATTGGAGCTTCACCTTCAGCATTGGTCCTTCCAATGAATATTCAAGACTGATTTCCTTTAGGATAGACTGGTTTGATCTCCTTGCAGTTCAAGGGACTCTCAAGAGTCTTCTCCAACACCACAGTTCAAAAGCATCGATTCTTCAGCGCTCATCCTTCTTTATGGTCCAACTCTCATATCCATACATGACTGCTGGAAAAATCATAGCTTTGACTATTTGGACCTTTGTTGGCAAGGTAATGTCTCTGCTTTTTAATATGCTATCTAGGTTTGTCATGACTTATTTTTCAAAAATGGAATCTGTTGTATCTACTTACCTGTATATTGTTTTTCTGACTTAAAATTACATGAGGTACAGCTCTAACATCTTTTTTTTTCCCTTTGAGCAGCTCAGTTCTCTGTTTTCTTGTTTTCTGCTGTGGTTTGGGTTTTGGCCGTTAAAAGCAATGCTGCTATGAATACCACTCTGCATATCCCCACGGGAGCTGTTGACCTAAGTGGGCTAGTCTCCCAGGACAGGGATTGTTCTTCTGTTTGTCTGATCGTTTTATAGCTCATTCTGCCATTTGATGATTTTATTCTTTTTTAAAAAAAATTAGGATAAAATTTGCCAACAGTTAAATGACCAGGTCTCAAGTGCACAGTTCATCAAGTTTTGACCAGTGTGTATATTCATCATGGCAAATACACTCCTGTTCAGACAAGATATGGAGCATTTTCATTACTTCAGAAAGTTCTTTGCTGTCTCCTTTCAGCCAATTTCAACTTTCTCATAAGCAAACTGTTCCAGTTTCGTTCACCATAGATTAGTTTTGCCTGTTCTTGAACTTCACACAAGTGGAGGCATGTGGTATGTGTATCTTTTTGTGTCCGACCTATTTAACTCAGCATGATGTTTTTGAGATTTATCCATGTTTTGGGGTCATATCAGTTGTTTGCTTTTTTAAAAAAGTTAATTACTTTATTTTAATTGGAGGCTAATTACTTTACAATATTGTAGTGGCTTTTGCCATACATTGATGTGCATCAGCCATGGGTATACATGTGTTCCCCATCCTGAACCCCCCTCCCACCTCCCTCCCCATCCCATCACTTAGGGTCATCCCAGTGCACCAGCGCTGAGCCCCCTGTCTCATCTGGACCGACAGTGCACTTCACATATGATAATATACACGTTTCAACGCTACCGTCTCAAATCATCCAACCCTTGCCTTCTCCCACAGAGTC